ACATATTATTTGAATAGTTCACGTGCCCTGCATGGATTTCTACATTTTTCTTAGCCACAGGCAACTCCTGTCATGAGAAGTAGATATCTGATCTTATTTGGCAGGTTCAACCATGGTGTAGGGCAAAGCTGTCTCCTCCTTTTCTGTTCTATCTACATTATACTGTTTGCTCTCTTGGTTTTTTTTTTTTTTTTTTTAATTTTTTTTTTTAATTTTTATTTATTTACGATAGTCACAGAGAGAGAGAGAGGCAGAGACACAGGCAGAGGGAGAAGCAGGCTCCACGCACCGGGAGCCCGACGTGGGATTCCATCCCGGGTCTCCAGGATCGCGCCCTGGGCCAAAGGCAGGCGCCAAACCACTGCGCCACCCAGGGATCCCCTGCTCTCTTGGTTTTTAAACACATACTAGGTCTTCTCAGAGATCTTCCTCCTTTGTTCTTTATAAGTGTAAACACTACATAATTTCCCCAAGTGACTAGATCACTCCTAAATCACCTGAAAATGATTTTAAAAGTGCAAATGATTTGAGAATCTGGGAGAGTGATCTTGAGCCACTGAGAGGACAGTAGGAGGAAGAACAGTGAAGGGAGACGTTGTTTCCAAATAAACATACACACTCATGCTATGAATGGGACCCACTTCCTATTCTACTAAGGGCCTGAGGAGGTGACCCAGAACTCTTATCTCAGCTTTCTCATCTTCCCATGAAGATAATAGCACTTGTTGCAATCTTTCCACATGATGCAAAAAGATGACTAGATTAGTGTTTGTGAACCAGTTTGAGCTCTTTGTTAGAAGGATGTCAGGTTCATAGTCAGCAAGGTGTAAAACTAGATGTTCAGGTGAATAATTACAGGGAGCCATGAAGTTCTCAAAGGCAGGGTCAAAACTCTTTGTACATCAGGTATTGCAATAATTGGGAAGAAGACATCTGACGTTAACTACTCCTGACTTATTTAAAAGCCTGGAATTCCTTAAGATACCTCTACTGACATAATACACAAACATCAAATATGATAAATCCCTTTTTGGTCAGATAGAATAAGCACACAGGTTTCTAAGATTAGCTAACAGGAAAGGAAAAAAACCCTAAAATTCTAAATTTATATATATTTAATATAAGTAGGTATTCTTGAAGATCAGCAGCAGCATACTGAAACTAACAGAATCAATGGGAGAGGAAGAGCGATGAACAGGACTGATGACAGAACAAAAAGGAAGTTTCAAAGGTGAAACTGAAGAGAGGAAATGACTCAGCCACAGGTCCAAGGAGGGATTTCCAGTTAGGTGAGTTGTAGGTGATGATATGGCCTGGGAAAGCTTATTACACACAAAGGACAAGATTCCAGGACACTGGAGTGTTCTCAGGGGTCATGGACACAAAGTATAAGGACAATAATGTACAAAATATTCTCCTCACAGAGTCAAAAATCTTGGTGTCTTTCTCTTTTAATACTCAGGGTAAAAAGTCAACTATAAAAAACGAAAACAAAGTAAAAAAGAACTCAGGGCAGTTTTGGTCATTGACCCTTGAAATAGCTGGTATAATGGTAGCAAAAAAAAACCTAATAATACAAAAAAATTGAGGTGAAGGAAAAATATATCTATTAGTCTAGTCCACATTTCAGTTATTAATCATTATTGGGAGACTGCACTATCCCAGACATGGAAGGTGGGGAACATTAAGGTGGGCAGGTTTAAACCAACACAAGAATAAAGGTAATGGAATAGATGTGATATAGATAAGGAATAGAAATGAAACATGTACTGAGAAAGGGGCTGGGTGTAGGGGCTGAGTAAAAAGAAGATAGTACAATGACTGCCAGCCCTCAGGTTTGGATGTAATGCCATTTAATAAGAGAGGTAATAGAAGAGAAATTGTTGTGTTTTTTTTTTTTTTTGAAGGTGGGTGGGGAGGAAAATAGAAGGATTATCAATCTAGTGCTTACTTGAGCTTGAGGTACCAGTGGGAAATGTAAGTACTCATGTTCTTCTTTTGATGCCACATAACAGAGATCAATTACATCTACTCACCTACATTTCTTTGAGACATATTTGGAACTTTTTCTTTTCTTTTTTAAAGATTTTATTTATTTATTCATGAGAGACAGAAAGAGGCAGAGAAATAGGCAGAGGGAGAGGCAGGCAAGGAGCCTGATGTGGGACTCATCCCAGGACCTCAGGATCACATCCCCAGCCAAAGGCAGACGCTCAACCACTGAGCCACTCGGGCACCCCTGGAACTTCTTCTATACTATGAGGCCCCTCAAAAAGGAAGAGGACTGAATAAGCAGGTTTTATGCTGGTCACTAGAAAATGGAAAAATAGTACTTAAAAATATGGAGAGACAGTTTTTAATAATATGTGACCTAAGACCTCACTCATTTCATAGACAAATAAAACATGGCAGCATGGGTAACAGATCATCACTAAACATAGTAATAGTAGACATGATTAAATAAGATGTACTATTTTAGTCTTTTTGAAATTATACTTTGAGTGGTGCTGTGCATTACACAGTGAAAGTTTTATTGGTAGAGAAGAAAAAAAATAATGCAATCAATTTTATGTGCAGTTTTCCAGCATAGCTGTAATTTTTGAACCTTTTTTCCTTATTACATCGTTAAACATTATTTTTGTCTTATTTTCCAACCAAGTGGTTATTAGCTATATTAACTTTCTTTAGAAACATAGTAGTTCATTAAGGATGTTTCCTGGCAACCTAAGCATATAAAACACACACAGTGGTACTTAAAAGATCAAATGTGTCTTTTAGGTGTATATTACATTCATTTAAACATCATTTAATGACCCAGGAAAACATCTTCGCGGCTGTTCATCTAGGATTTTATATTGTATTCACGACGCTTTTATATTGTTTTCATCACAAGATTCCATGAACGCCACCTGTGAACCCTTTCATTCTAAAACACCGCACTGTTCGTCTAACAAGTCTCCTTCAAAGTCACCTTTCTCTCTCTCTCTCTCTCTCTCTCTCCGTATCAGCGTCAAGATCTAAAGCTTTTTTCACTATTCCTTCTCCCAAGAAAAAAATGAAAACATTCACTCCCGCTCCTCCCCCCCCCCGCCCCCCGCCAACCCACCCCAGACTAGCAGAAAGAGGGGAGGCAAAGTGGAACAAGTTGCGTCCCGCGCCCGGGAGCACAGAGCTAGGACCACTCTAAAGTCCCCGCTGGATACCGAGACCCGCAACCAGTCACCGTGTCCGGAAGGGGCTGGGCTATCGGCCAAAAGAGAACGTCCACCCCCAAAGCCTCAGGAATGACGGGTACTTAGAGCGAGTGACAAGCAGAGGAGGAGGCCCGACCCTCTGGGACGTCCTCAAACACGCAAGGAATGCGAAAGAAACGCCAGGCATCCCGGACGGGCGGCAGCCGGCCAGAGCGCCCAGCCAGGGTACGACGGTCCTGGAAGCAGGCGTGCGGCTGGACCCTGGGGGGGGGGGGGGACGACGCTCAAGGGGCTGCGGACTGAGCGACGGAAACTGATGCTTGGGAGCTCCCCAAAGTTTGGGTGGGTGTCCCACAGCCCAGGAGCCGCAGCGAGGCACCCGGAGCAAGCCGGGAGGAGCGCCGGGGGGCGGGGCCAGCGCCCCACCCCGCCTCCAGCGCCCCACCCCGCCTCCAGCGCCCCACCCCGCCTCCAGCGCCCTCACGAGCCCTCAGTACGCCTGCGTAAGGCGAGGCCGCACTCTATTTGGCTGCTAGGCGCGCGCGGCGGCGGCGGCGGCGGCGGCGGCGGCGGCAGCGGCGTTCTCTACCCGGCATGCTGCGCGGGAGCGACGGCCCTACGTCTATCCCCTTCCCAACCCAGCCCCCTCCCCCCTCCCGCCGCGGCCCCCCCTTTCCCTAAAGTGAGTGAGTGAGACGGGCAGATGGAGGAGGGACTGTAATGGCGGCGGCCGGCAGCTCCCTGCTCTGACCCACGGCAGGCGTACAGCAACGACCCCCTCCTCGCCCCTCTCCCAGCCGGCCTCCGCCCCGCCGGCAGCGCGGGGCCACCCTCCCCGGCCCTTCCCCCAGCCGTCGGCTTCTCGCCCTGCGCCCCGGCCGGGGCCCCACACACAATGGACGAGCTCGCCGGAGGCGGTGGTGGCGGCCCGGGGATGGCGGCCCCTCCGAGGCAGCAGCAAGGACCCGGGGGGAACATGAGCCTTTCGCCAGGGGGGAATGGAGCGGCGGGCGGCGGAGGTCCTCCAGCCGCCGAGGGAGCGGGTCCCGCGGCAGGCCCGGAGCTGTCCCGGCCGCAGCAGTACACTATCCCGGGGATCCTGCACTACATCCAGCACGAGTGGGCTCGGTTCGAGATGGAGCGGGCGCACTGGGAGGTGGAGCGGGCCGAACTGCAGGTACCTCGCCGGGGTCGGGGTGCGGGACGGCTGCGGCGGCGGGGCTCCCGGCCGGGGGGTGGGGCCGGGACTCCCCTCCGTCTCCGTCGGAGCCCCGGGCCTGGGGGGCTGGGGGCAGCCTACCTGTGCAGCTCGGGGGGCGGTAGTCCTGCCTACGGCTCTGGCGACGGCTCTTCCGAGAGCCCCCCTCCCCCTTTCCCGCAGAAGCTTGTTCCCCAGCCCTTGCTAGCTGCGCGGTGCGGGCTTCCTTGGGGCAGCCATTTTGACTTTTAGTATGGCGTCGGCGGGGGCTCCTCTGGAGGCGGCCTGCCGGGCCTCCGGGGCTTGGGGCAGAACTCCTCTCAGTGGGAGAGTCCGGCGTGGGGTGACGGGGCGCGAAGCTTGCAGCTGACTGCGCCTTCTGCGATGGAGAGCCCGAGGGGAGGGTTTGCGGTGGGCATTTCATTACCTTTTCCTTTTCCACCCCCCCCCCCATCCGATTTGGCGTTTCTTGGCCCCCTCTCCCGTAGTTGGTGCGCACTTGCCCCTTGACAGCCACGCTTCTTTCCAGGGCTGCTACCGAGCGTGGTGTCTTGCTGCTGACTTGGGAAGTTGACGTTTCCTACCGCCAACTTTAAGTACCTTCTTACCTGGGATGCTGCCTTACTTGGGTTCCCTCTCGGTCAGTTCTTCCTAAGCGACTGACTCATCACTGCTTCTCTAAATTGAATTTTTCTTTCGGGAGTACCCTTCCCCGGGCCTCCAGCCCCTCCTCTAGCCCTGCGAAGCCGAACCAGAGTCTCTCTGCCGTGTTTAAGAAACAACCGGGGAAAGATTTAGTGTTACCTTCAAGTGTGACACGTACTTGTCCCACGTTAACTGACTCGCGCAGGGGAAGCAAGGTTAAATATCCCCAGAATCCTTCATAATTGAGCCTTACTTGATCTTTTAAAGGTGAAACTTTGCTAGGCTGGTTTACCTAACTTTTGGAGGGACGGTGGTAGTTGAAGAGCTCACGTCTTGGATTTCAGAATGGCTACATCCTTTTAAGAGGATTGTTCAACTCTTGGGTACTTGTGTTTATTTTTAAATCCCTTTCCAGGGCAAAATTAGGCTTAGAAGGAAAAAGCATGCATCCAAATAGTGTTGCACCTGTTCCTCAGACTGGTATATATTTAGAATGTAAGTAGTAGTGTTCGCTGATTTTATATATATATATATATATATATATCATATATGCCTACGGTGAATAGTTAGGAAGATACGGTGTTGCAGGAAGGAAGACTGAATTAACTTAGGGTGTCTTCAAACAAATATATATTTTTTTAGTTTGATTTTGAATTAGTTATCTTTGATTCTACAAAGTTAGTGAAGCTAAACTTCTAAAAAGGACTTTTATATATCTTGACACTTTATCAAGTCTTCAAAAAACTTAATTATAAATTAACACCTGTTAGTCAATTCAGTGTTTTAGAATTGTGTTTTGATATACTGTAGGACTTTTAAAAATAGAACTTTCCAAAAGCTTGTATCATAATTGTCTGTAGTTTCTTTTTTCTTTCTTGCTTTTTTTTTTTTTGTAGTTTCTTTTAACTTGTATGTAGTCTAGTTTAAAATATCTGGGATTTATAGAGTTGTGACGATAAACAACTTTTTACTACACCATGTTGCAAACAGTATTCTGTATGAAGATGATAAGACGGTTATTTTTAAAAATTGCATTTAAAAATGCACTGAGGCTTAGACTCACTAAATAATACCTCACCAGTCCCTGGATATAGTGTCTAATGACCTCTGCACTGTTGTATGAAAGATTGGTGTTTTTTTTTTTTTCTTCCCTGCCCTAGAGGATGAGACATTTATTTTGCCCTGTAAGCACCCGAAAGCTTGGATTTTAACACTTTGTAAGTTAACAGTGCATTAGTCATTTATAAGCTTCACTAATTTAAGTATCTGAGGAAATAGCTTATTTGTGTCTAAATTAAAAAAAAAGATCTATAATGAAGTCTATATGTCTGCCTTAGCCCTTTCTTTCCTTTTTAGTTCTCTTTGCCAGTAACAGTGAAGTCTTTTAAGGAAGATTCCTTTTGCTTGTTTGCTTTCCAGTTGATCTGCTATTGTAATATTAGTTCTGATAAAACCCTTCTAAGCTTTTTTTGTTTGCTTACTTTTAAGAAGTTCTACAGTGTCTCTAGACTCTTAGTTTTTCCTGGGATTTTCATTATTCATTATTTCACACTGATTCTTTTGAAATGGAATGTGCATGATTCTGTTTGTATGTTTTTGTTCTACATATTTTTCTAAAATGTTATATTGAGTTACTTAGTTAATAGGGTTTCAGGTTTGTTTCTGGAATATCGAATTTGCATTAAGTACTTTCAGTCTTTAATAAGATTGCTTGTGAGATGCACATTTAACAGTGTATGTGTCAAGGGGCACCTGGCTGGCTCCCCTGATAGAGCATGTAGCTCTTGATCTCCAGGTTGTAAGTTTGAGCCCCGTGTTGGGTGTAGAGATTACTTAAAAAAATAAAATCTTAAGAAAAAAATGTGTCAAATAAAAAATTTATTAAGGTTTCAGTGAAGTGTCAACAGATTTTAACTGTAAACTTAAATTTATTTTTAGGAGTGATAATGTAGAAATAAGAGAGCTTAAATATTATTTTGTATATAGCTTCAGATCACTGTTGATGTGTAGATGAACAGTGACTCAGAAATGTTCAATATTAGAACTATTCAATAATGAATATGAAGAGGTTAGGGTACACCCAATTTTGATGTAAAATTTCAGCATGGAATCCTGTTTTCCCTGGCTTTGCAAAGGATCTTTTTTTTTTTTCTTTAATTGTTCAGACTTCTCACTGAACTTGGGGCTTGAACTCATGACCCTGAGAACAAGAGTTGCATGCTCTACCAACTGATCCAGCCAGGCACTCCTATAAAGGTTTTAAGTTGGAATTTTGCGGTGTGGTTCTATTCTCTGTAAAAGGAATTTTGGGTGAAGATCTGTCTTAGAAACTTGGAACTAAACCAGAGGATCGTGTCTTAATGCTCTTTGATCTTCATGACATAAACTTACTTGGGATTCCGGTAAGGCTTTAGAAGTAAGGCTCTAGAACAGTGGTTCTTAGATGAGAATTCTAGACAGAATCACTTGTAAAACTTAAAAATATGCAGGCCTCTGCCTCATTCTCCAGAGATTTGGATTAATTTGGTCCAAGACTTGGAGAAAATTGTTTATGGGATTTTTGCATTCATGTTATATAAAAATTATAACTGCCATTTAATCAGCGCTACAACCTTATGAGGTAGTTACCATTCCTGTTTTACAGATGAGATAAGCTTAGGTGACATAACTTTGCCAAGGTCACTTACCATTAAAGTGTTGCAGCTAAGATTCGAACCTGTTTGAATCCAAAGCTTGTGATCTTATTACCATCGTATAATATTGTCATGTTACCATTTTTTTTTAGAAATGTAATCTGACTTGTAATTCTTTGCCTACCATTATGTGGCACACAGTAGGACATTCCAACAAAGTCTTATTGAGCCCCCATTCTGTGCCAGGTCTAGTTTATGTATATTGCAAATACGTCCTTATACTTTTCTCTGTAGTGGTATACACTTAGGGTATCCACAAAACGTTTGTCAACTATGGAAATATGACATAGATAATACAGAGAGAATGTAGTCCAGGAGTTTGTATTCTAAACTATTAATTGAACAAATGTAAAAATTTTAGTGTTTGTGTTTGCACTCTCTGGCGTACAGATTTGTCATGACAGATGTTGCCACCTAAAGACCTTAATAGATAATTCACTTAAGCATAACTTGATTTCTTCATTTTTAAAAGAAAACTAACAGTTTATTCTGCACTCCTCCTTTTATTGTTGAGATTTTCTCAGAATAGTCTAGAAGAGTGATTTGCAAATCCTGGTGGGTTTTTTATTGCAACATTTATATAGATCTATGAAATTACAAAAAATAAGAACAGTATGGTAGTTTTTGTAAAGGTGCTCCCTTTATTCTGAGAGTTTTAGACTTCATCAATTTTCTCTGTTCTGCAGTTCCTATTTCAAATGATGGTGACAGCAAGAAGAAAAAAAGTTTATTTGATAGAATTAAAGAGGTCCCAACCTTATGTCATTTTCTCTGTTTATTTTTGAAGTCCTTGTAAACAAAAAGTCTAGGGACCACTAATCTGGAATTCTCTCTTCCTCTTTTTAGCCCTTAACCCTGCTCTATAGTCTTACCTTTTTGCCCTATTCTCTCCTTAAACCCATCCGAACATCTTGTAGGATATTGTTTTTTCTGTTGATGGCCGGCCTTCAAATTCCCAAATCCTGTGGCTTTTTTTTTTTTTTAAGATTTTATTTATTTATTTGAGAGCGGAAAGAGGAGGAGAGGCAGAGGGAGAAGCAGACTCCCTGCTGAGTGGGGAGCCTGATCCATAAGGCTCCATCCTAGGACCCTGGGATCACAACCTGCGCCTAAGGCAGAGGCTTAACCCACTGAGCCACCCAGGCCCCCCAGCCTGTGGCTTTTTTTTTTTTTTTTTTTTGAACTTTATTCACTTAACCAGCACTTCTGTATTAACTGTTTCTTCCTCAGAACCCTTTTCTTTGGCTTCCACTGTGTAATTCCCTAGTTTCCCTTTTGTCCACTAAACACTTTTATTCATGTTTCCTCTCCTTTGTTCCCAGTCGTTGTTCCCTGGGACTCTTGTTCTCTTAGTGTATTTACTGTCTGTATGTTTCATTTGAAATTGGATTTTCAGCTACCACTTAAGTTTTTTTTTTTTTTTAATTAAAATTTTTTTAAGAGAGGGAGGAGAGCAGAGCCAGAGGGAGAGAGAGAATCTAAATCAGGGTCCGTACCCATCTCACAACTTTGAGATCATGACCTGAGCTGAAATCGAGAGTCCAGTGCTTAACCAGCTCAGCCACCCAGGCGCCCCACCACTTAGGTCTTAATATCTAATGTTTTTTTAGTTACTGTTCGCTAAGTATTATTCCAGTGCTTCAGTATTAGCTCCTTTAATCCTAAACAACCCAGTGAGGTTGGCACAGTTGGTTTCTTTTGTTACTGCCTTTTTTTTTTTTTCTTTTTTGGTGTGCACTAGAAATTTGGGGCCCAGAGGTAAATAATCAGCCCCAAGATTGCACAACTAGCAGGTAGCAGAACTAGAATTTAAACTTGGACAGGCCTTCTCTAGAAGCCATGTTCTTACCGCTACTAGATCTTCGGTTATCAAATATCTCATATTTCTAATTTCCTGTTTAACTTTTTACTTTAAATTCAATACATTCATTATTCATTTCATCTCAATTGCTTGCTGTTCCCCCCCCCCAATAACACTTAACCTATTAATTCTCCTTTTTCTCTGTTATTGTTAATGTTCATCACCACCCTTCTTATCATTAGATGCTAAAGAGATCAGGGAGCCTTATTCTTATATATATATAGAGAGAGAGAGAGAAAGTTTTATTGATTCTAGTGTAATCATTCAGTGAATGTATTTGAGTATTACTTTGTGCTAGGCACCAGGTATATAATGATATATGAAATAAGGACCTTGTCTCATGGAACTTATAGTCTAGAAATAATAAAATGTGATAAACCAGAAATTAACTGGATAAGTGGTGAGAAAATGGTAAATAGGAAACTATGTAGATAATGGACTTTCAGATAAATAGATAGTGTTTATTGAACAATTTCTATATGCCAAGAATTTAAATTCTTATATGTTAGCTCATCTAATTCTCATAAAGCCCCTGGAGGTGAGAATACTTTTAGATCTGAAATATGAATACCTAACTATAGGTATTCCAGTTAGAAGGTACAGCACCAGCAGAAGTTCTGAAGGAGAGAGCTGGGCGGGCTTGCTTGCTTGCTTGCTTTCTTTCTTTCTTTCTTTCTTTTTTTTTTTTTTTTTTTTTGTAAGATTTTGTTTATTTAAGAGAGAGATTACAAGTAGGGGGGGAAGGGCAGAGGGAGAAGCTGAGCAGGGGGCCCAGTGCTGGACTGGATCCCAGGAGTCTGGGATCATGACCTGAGTTGAAAGCACATGCTTAACTGACCAAGGCGCCCAGGAGAGAGCTGTGTTTGAAAGTGTGTGAACTGAACTATAGTGATTCAAGGGGCT